CGATCGTGTTTGAACTCATTTGAAAGAGCACATAAAGACCTAGGTGACTGTTATGATCTCACCTTTCTAATGGTGCAATACAAAGGTGGATATAGGATCTCAGTGACGCCACTAGATATGACGATCGTGTTTGAACTCATTTGAAAGGGCACATAAAGACCTAGGTGACTATTATGATCTCACCTTTCTAATGGTGCAATACAAAGGTGGATATAGGATCTCAGTGACGCCACTTGATATGACGATCGTGTTTGAACTAATTTGAAAGGGCACATAAAGACCTAGGTGACTGTTATGATCTCACCTTTCTGATGGTGCAATACGAAGGTGGATATAGGATCTCAGTGACGCCACTAGATATGACGATCGTGTTTGAACTCATTTGGAAGGGCACATAAAGACGTAGGTGACTATTATTATCTCACCTTTCTAATGGTGCAATACAAAGGTGGATATAGGATCTCAGTGACGCCACTAGATATGACGATCATGTTTGAACTCATTTGAAAGTGCACATAAAGAGCTAGGTGACTGTTATGATCTCACCTTTCTGATGGTGCAATACGAAGGTGGATATAGGATCTCAGTGACGCCACTAGATATGACGATCGTGTTTGAACTCATTTGAAAGGGCACATAAAGACCTAGGTGACTATTATGATCTCACCTTTCTAACGGTGCAATACAAAGGTGGATATAGGATCTCAATGACGCCACTAGATATGACGATCGTGTTTGAACTCATTTGAAAGGGCACATAAAGACCTAGGTGACTGTTATGATCTCACCTTTCTGATGGTGCAATACGAAGGTGGATATAGGATCTCAGTGACGCCACTAGATATGACGATCGTGTTTGAACTCATTTGAAAGGGCACATAAAGACCTAGGTGACTGTTATGATCGCACCTTTCTGATGGTGCAATACGAAGGTGGATATAGGATCTCAGTGACGCCACTAGATATGACGATCGTGTTTGAACTCATTTGAAAGGGCACATAAAGACCTAGGTGACTATTATGATCTCACCTTTCTAATGGTGCAATACAAAGGTGGATATAGGATCTCAGTGACGCCACTAGATATGACGATCGTGTTTGAACTCATTTGATAGGGCACATAAAGACCTGTGACTGTTATGATCTCACCTTTCTGATGGTGCAATTTAAAGATTAATAAAGGATCTCAGTGACGGCACTGTTTTTATATTTTTATTGTTATTAATTTATATATAAGAAAAATAAAGAAAACTAAACTAAATATAGTGTACCTATATGTGCTATGTTATGTAACTTAATACAATACGAAAAAATTAGTTTATAAAACTCAACATATTTGATTACCAAACAAATCAAATAATTATTTTATTAATTCTAGACTTTTTTCTTAAAAAAAAAACACTATGATTTTCTCCTGTATCGTGGAGGCAGTTTACAAGCATAATTTGCACAAGGAGAAACATCCAGACCCGGAACAATTATTTGCAGATCATACAAATACTTGTTCCGTGCGGAATTAGAACCCGCGGCCCCCAGCGCAGCAACTCATCGCTAAGCCACTGCACCACGGAGCTTGTTTATTTTATCAATTTGTACTATGTTATGCTGGGGCCACACTAACGAGAAATACCGTTAATTATCGCGTTGATAGACGTTGAATGTAGCTGTGGCCACGACTTAACGCGTTGATTTGACAATGACATTAACAATGCCGTTCGCCGTTTGGCGATAACTCGAGTAGCGGTACATCAAAGAAATTAACGCACGTACTAACATGTTGAAACGACCACACTATGTTTGTCTGACTGTGCACGTTGAGCGCAACAAGGTCGCACGTAACTATATGATGGAGCGGAATAATAAAAAAGTTATTACGTTTCTTAAGATTCTGCAAGCAGAGCCATGTTTGTGGGATCCGAGACTCAAAAGTTTTAAGAATCGTACAGCGCAAAAGGATGCTTTGCCATGAATTATCCAATTATTATCTTTTAATACAACTATCGAAGAATTAGAAAGGCGAAGGAAAACCTAATGGATTTTTATAGAGCCATTTATAACAATCTGAATTTAAAATCATCAGAAACATAGAGACACTTGACAAGTTGCCTTAGTTCCAAATCTACAACCTTTTTTTTTAGAACATTTTGAATGTACCCTATTTTACCCATTTTAAAAGAGATAAGAATATATTACCAAAACGTTCGTGGGTTGCGTACGAAAACTCACAACTTTTTAAGGGAAGTCAATTGTAATAATTATGATGTAATAGTTTTAACTGAAACCTGGCTTAATAGTAGCGTTATGAGCAATGAGTTATTTGATGACAGATACGAGATATACAGAAGAGACCGGGAAAGTACGGGGTTTCATGAGAATAAGGATGGGGGAGGAGTCTTAGTTGCGGTACTAAAAACTATCAAATCGGTTCGGAAGTTTGAATGGGAAAGTAAATGTGAAGACATTTGGGTGGTTTTGGATTTGAAAATTGAAAACTCTGTCCATCAAATAGCTCTTTGCGGTGTTTACTTACCACCTCCGGTGAACAGGCTAATGTTGGAGAATTTTGTAGAAAATTGTACCTCAGTCATAACAAGTAAATTTGATACACACCTGTGCTTTATTGGTGATTTTAACTTAGGTAATATAAATTGGAGTTTGGTACATGATTTGTCGAATAACTATGTTGCTCCTAGTCCAAGCCAAGCATTGATAGATTTAGTTCATCTTAACAAGCTTAATCAAATGAATAACATTCTTAACAAATCGGACCGCTTGTTAGACCTTGTACTGACCAACCTATCATCGTCCATGTGTACAGTAGCAGGATCAGTTAATATCCTTAGTATCGTAGATCCTCTACATCCCCCTCTCGAAATATTAATAAAAAGAAATACTGATACTGCACTACCGTATAACATCGATACTAAAATACACAATTTTAGGAAAGCCGATTATACTCAAATCCGCCTTTGTTTAGCCGAATATGACTGGAATGAAATGTTTCATAACCTGAATGTTAATGAAATGACAAACTTATTTTATGATATAATTAATAATTTAATAAATAAATATGTGCCCTACAAAAAAATAAGAAATAATTCTTCTCCTCCTTGGTTTAATGTTTCATTAAAGAGAATGTTACGTGAAAAGGAGAACATAAGAAAGCGGTATAAAAATATAGGAATCACATGGACGAAGTTGAGCTGCGGCTACTTAATAAGCGTTGCTGCACACTAGCAAATCAATCTTATAAAAATTATATAAAGAAGACAGAAGATAGTATTAAGTCGAACCCTAAACTTTTTTGGTCATTTATTAAGGCAAAGAAGTACGGGAAAAGTAATTATCCTTGTACAATGACTGATGGTATTAAGAAGTCATCTAGTCCTAGGGAAATCTGCGACTTATTTGCGTCCTACTTTGGAGCTGTGTATAATTCTCAAGATAACATAAACTCAGACTTGAATGTCAGCCAATGGAATTTGATTTGCAATTACAGCCTTGAACTAACTGCTCCCTACCTTAGCAAGGATCAGATACTGAAGAACATGAAGTCCCTAGATCTTAATAAGGGCCCAGGACCAGATTGTGTCCCTCCTTTATTTATTAAGGCATGTGCGGATGAGCTAGTGACGCCTATATATCTAATTTTTAAGAAGTCTCTTCAATCCGGCCTATTTCCTGATGTTTGGAAGTTCGCCAAAGTTGTTCCCATTCACAAGGCCGATAACGTCGAGGTGGTAGGTAATTATAGGCCTATTTCTATACTGTCAACTTTAAGTAAAATATTTGAATCTCTTGTTTATCCTGTGCTGCAGAACCACTTGAATCATTATCTTACTGAGTGGCAGCACGGTTTTGTTAGATTTAGGTCAACCTGTTCCAATCTGACCTTGTTTACTGAAACTTTTGAAAATATATACAGACCTTAGTAAGGCATTCGACAAAGTACCTCATAATATTCTTATATCTAAATTGCGTGCATATGGTATTACTGGCTCATTAATGGGATGGCTGCAGTCGTATCTGGATAATCGTAGTTTTAGTGTGGTCGTTAATGGTTTTCAGTCTGTACCATACAAAATTACGTTGGGGGTTCCTCAAGGATCACATTTAGGTCCTCTGCTTTTCAACACCTTCATCAATGACATCCCTAGTTGCTTCCAGTTCTCCACACCATTTATGTATGCCGATGATTTGAAATTGGTTGGCATCTGCGAAACTCTAGAGGACATTGAACAGTTTCAAAGTGATGTTGACCGTATGGTAAATTGGTGTCGAGACAATGGTATGCACCTGAACATAAACAAGTGCTACCATATGAAATTCAGTAGAAAGATCAAGTCACTGAACACATCATACAAAATTAACGGCCACATCATTAAGAAAACGGAGGGAGTCAGAGACCTGGGAATAGTGTTCGATAAAAAATTAACCTTCGTTCCCCACATCGAGAATATTACAAAAAAGGCGTATAGAATGCTAGGCTTTGTTTTGCGTAACGCAAAAGTGTTTAAAAATAATCACATTAAGATCCTACTGTACAACAGCCTAGTACGAAGCATACTTGAGTATTGCAGTGTAGTATGGAGGCCACATTACGCGACACACTCCTTACGATTGGAACGTCTGCAAAAAAAGTTCGTGGCAAATTTGGCCTATTGGAATGGGATTCACAAAAAAAATTCGGTCTTACGAAAAACGATTAAGATTCTTTAAAATTTTATCCCTGGAAAATCGGAGAAATTTGCTTGACCTGTCATTTCTTGTAAAAATTTTTAATCAAAAAAATTAACTGTCCCCTCTTGCTCCAAAAATTTAAATTTCGTGTTCCATTGAGGATTCCTCGCGCCCCTATTACTCCACTTTGCCCTCCTTTTAGAAAATCTGTCTTAGGTGCAAACTCCCCAATTCCAAGGTTGTGCAAATTGGTCAATGGACATAGTGACAAAGTTGACATTCACGCCGACTCACTTGCCAAAATTAAGGAAGTTCTAGCTTTAGCCTGGTCTGAAACCAACAAATAAATAATAATAGTTCTTACCACGTACTTTTTTCATTATTAGGTAATTTATACTTTTTTTATTCGTATTTATAATCTTTCTCGATGCATGTGGTGTTTACCTTAAACGATTGTTACACTTAGCTACGTAAATTAGTTCTTAAGCCATTTTGTTAAATACAGTGTAATCAAACATTGGTAAACCTTAATAAATTAAAAAAAAAAATTTAAAAAAATATAAAAAGTCTTCAAGGAACATTAGCACCAACTTTAACCCCGTTCAATGGCATTGAAATTTAATGACGTGGAGCGTTCAAGTGTAGCCAACTTTATCGCGTTACATTTTTACGTTTGTAGGCATCGACGTTTCCCGTTAGTGTAGCACCAGCATTAACGCGTTCGTTCGATGCTCGACGCAGAGGCGGGCAAGCGGAGCGATACCATGGCAACCATGGTCAACATGGGCGTGCGGTGGACTAAGCGTTAAAATATGGATATCACAGTCGACAGTAGATTTTGTTTTCAATAATAAGTTTTAATTTTTTACTTTGTCTCGTAAATCATTTAATCTACTACTACCCAATGTTCTGTACTTTATTTTATTCCATTAATTTTACCCAGTTCATTTATTTGCTGATTATCTTAAAAATAAATGTAATTTTGTATAGTAGGTATATCTCTGTGGTATTAAAATTACTACAATCTACGATACTTATAACTCCTTTACTGTGTGTTTTGGGGGGAACCCGACCGTCGACGGATTTTTGCTTCTGTTTTATCGCTTAAAAATCAAAAAAGTTTTAAAGAAATTTAAAACAAATTATACTGATAAGAAAAGTGTAATTTATCATTTTCTTATCACTATTAGGAGATTTTTTTTGTTTTTTTTATTAGTAATAAAATACGTGTGCGGTAATATTTCTCATTAACATGAAAGGTGTGTTACAGTTAAAATATTTAGAAACTTAACAAATCAACGTATAGATAATAATAATACATTATCACTAATAATCCTCAAGATTCCACTATAATTTCGTATATAAGCGCCCTAAAACCTTTATTTTTTATATTTTGTTATCACATATCGGTAGTTCGTGGTTTGTTCTTGGCCAAAGTTATACCAGTTAAGTAATTTAAACGTTAAAAAGGAAATCGAAGCTGTAATGGATAATAGTTAAATTAAGAGCTAAATTATCATTTCACTTTAATATCACACATTACTTTGACTTAACTTCACTTTAGTTTTTGCACACCTAAGTATGTCATGATGTTCGCATGTTGTCGATGCATTACTTAACTGTGGAAACTTTATTGTTAAATGTAAGATTAATATGTGTTATGTAATATACTAAAAGTATGTATGTTTCCCTTGAAGATAAACTAAATAAATAAATAATTGAAAAACAAATTGCAGCATAAAGTTCAGAGCGCGAGAGATTCCGCTTGAGTCGTTTCAAGAGTGAAGTCATTCTACTCGTGCAAAGATAGTCGTTGTTCTGTCCATTGTGGTGATTCTTCTGGTGCAGACAAGGAGCATGGTGTTGCTGAGAGGCTGTGCTGTGTTACGTTGAGATGGGTAAGGTTGCTGTTGATTTGCATAATTTGGTGTTATCATGTAGTTGTGTCCATCACATTGCACTGGTGTGTAATTTTGATGGGGACATACTGCGGTATGGTCAAACTGTAATTAAGTACTCTATGCTGAATGTATAGTGCGTTACGTTGTCCTATTATTGATAATGATAAATTGCGCAAGCAAGAGAGCAAGCTGAACATCAGTTCTCACACTTTTACCATTTTTAATAATTAACGCTATCCTGTTATATCCCACTCAATTGGCTTATCCTGTTGTACTTTACGACAAATAAATAATTGAAAAACAAAAAAAAATCTATTAATAATTATAAAAAATGATAAACATAAGTTACACTTTCTTTTATGTCGGTATAATTTGTTTTAAATTTCTTTAAAACTTTTTGATCTTCTTTAAAATTTTTGATTTCTTTAAAATTTTTTGAAGATTTGAGGAATCGCTTCAAAAGTAGCATGCGACGATGTGACGCATGCGCAGTACAGGTGCGTCTGTATAATTATGTAACTAACTAAAAATTGATAATTAAACCTAAAATAGATATATTTTTGATAGAACAAACGTATTTTATCAAAGAACAAACATTAATGAATATAAAAAGACCAATAATAACGAAAGAAATTGTAAATTGGAGTGGGCGGGATAACTACAAGACAGATTTTTAATAAATATTGTATAAATAAATTATTGACAAACAAACAGTTATTGATAGAGAACAATCAAGAATAAACAACGAACTAACGATATATGAAATTTGAAAAATAAAAAAATTAAAATTTTCGTGGGCTAACTTCAGTGAGCCGTCCAGATTCTAAGCTTTCAGAGCCATCTTGTATGATATAATAAATTAAGACATTCACGACTTTTTCTGCCACCAGAGCGACGTAACGTCACTTTCTTTAGATGAGGTAAAATATTTGACAGATTTCATAATAAGGGAATTTCATTATTTAAAAAAAGTGTAAAGTCTAATATTTCTAGCTGAAATATTAGTTATATTTTATAATAATTAGATTACAATTCATGAAACTAATCTACGCATTTTCCTAAAAGTAGAAAAAATAATAAAAGAGTTAAAATTTACAAAAAATTAAAAAGTAAACCACTAAGGCAATGGGTGCGTTTGGCAGAAAAAAGCGCTAGCAAGCGCTTGTAAGCAAAATGGCGATCGTAAGCGGTAAGCGCTGTCAAATCGTAAGTAGCTATTTTCCTCCAGGACACGATGTTAGTTTTAACCGGGGAACCTAACCTAATTTAAATATATGTTTGTAAAGTATTCATATTAAAAACTTACCAATCATGAATTTTTAATAACATGTATATGTTTATTAACGTTATTATTTTACTTAAAACTAATATTGCACAAAACAACTTATAAACTCTACTTCAAAACAAACAAATTAAATAAGCAAAATGGCGGATTGTGTCAGCGCTATTGAAGTAGTAATCGTGTCCTGGCCGAAAACTATTTCAGCGCTTGTAAGCGCTTGCTAGCGCTTTTTTCTGCCAAACGCACCCATTGTTTTAATATGGTAGACTAGAAATTGATAAAAATTTATTTAAAACTAATTACTCAATGAAATGGCTTTGTATGACAAAAACTTTACCTCAGCCTGAACTAGCGACATCTGATGATTGGAAGATTATTCGCCCATATTCCACAATCCATAAACGACAAGCTTAGTAGTTTTAGTGTTACTCCCTCTATTGAAGAATATGCGCAACTGTTCTACATTCTGTCATGCGCGGCCAAACGCGGGGCAGAGACATCATCAGTGTTCTTCGGGGGATGAGACGGGAGGGGATTTACTAACCGACCAACCAATCCTCGCCATTTTCCGTCAAGCTGAACTCGATCAAGTTAGCTCCTGTCAGTCGTCGTGTTTGTGTGTAGTGTTGTGAAAAATTATTTGTACCGATGAATATCAATGGGAAATCTTGTTGATTACGGCGCCAAGCTATGGGTCGATTATTGTGTTTGTGGCTTTAAAGCACCGCTCGATCAGTGATAATGGCCGAGTGATTGGTTAGTGCAGTGTTTTGTGTCGTATGCTGGGCTGTCGCAGCAACAGTAAGATCCTTTCTCTGGATAAATCGTCCGTACGACGACTTGGGATCTTAGGTCGAGAAGACGACACACCATGTCAGCAAAAAATATCCCGGGAGACAAGGTCAGTAATCTTGCCTTAAAGCGAAATTGCCCAACTACTAAAAGGTCATTTTTTTGTTTGTTTCTAAAACCTCTCCTTTCTCTCGATGAGACGCTATCTTGATTTATGGCAGTGTGTAACTCTGTGAATTTTAATGTCATGTTCATTACGGTTCTTATAATCACTTTTAAATAAATCCCATTATATTGTTAGTAAACATTTTGTCAAAACCTCGACGAAAAGGAAGTCAGGAATACTGCATTTGTGTATATATTTTAAACTATCATCCAAAATAATTATGTTTTAGGTACTTGTTCAAAAGTATTTGTTTACTTTTGGTACAATTTTTTTATACCACATTAGCAAAGATATTTTGTAAAATGAGTGTTGGAAAATGAATACAGACATACATTAGACATACAGAATGGACATTCAAAGGAAAGTTAGAACAATATGTCAAGTAAAAATAACAAGCAAGCGCATGTACTGCTACATCTGTATTTAAATATGAATCAAAATGCAGGTGTGTTGTCACCTTTGAGTTCCCCCACCTATTGATTAATCTGTTATTAAAGTATATTTTTATTCGACATTTATATAAAAAATGTTCATTAAGTTATTTAGTTTTATTTTTTGATTACACCTAATATATTTATTTAGAAAAAAATCCAATGTTCTTTTTTATTATTTTATTCAGAAATCAAACAATTTTACAAGCATGTCTAACAAAAATTTAAAAAATGTAGTTTATAAAAAGATTCCCTGGTTACATTATGAAAATCTTTATTATAAGTCAAAATAAATAGTATTACAAAACATGCAAAAACAAGATTGCCAGATTTTCTTTACAAATCTAACATACCTACAAAGTTATTTTACATGTATTTGACTAAATTACTAAAACCTATGGTAAATACCAATAAGTATTTTCCAAATGCACTGCTTTTTATGTACCTACATAATATATTATTTTGTAGTTTTAGATTATACATTGTATTAGTGTTTGACTAGTAGCTAGTTGCTAACACTTATAAAGGCTTTCATATATTGTAAAATAATAGGTATTAATTTTTTGCTATAAATATATAAATTATTAGTGTTAAATAGTCTGTTATATTCGTTTTATTGTATTATACTTTTTGTCAGTTTTGGATGTAACTTTATTCTACTCGCATTCTTAAGTCTTTTTGTGTAAGATGTTACTTTAATCATTTTTGCATTTTATTAAATAAGATTTTTATAAAAAGAGGATATGACATAACAATTAAGAAAATTCATGGTTTGGTCATGATTTTTCTGTTAGCAATCACATTAACAACTCCTGGCAGGGTAAGAATAGAAAAAAGTTATTTAACTGAAATGATTCTAAAATATTACCGATTTTTTTAAATTTTTGTTTTTGTTTTGTGATGGGGCTTCAATTTTGCATAGGAGTCAGTCCCAGCTTTGTTTCAGTCTGAAGAGTGTAGAAAGCTAGTATAATTACAGGCGGTGAGGTATTCCAACTTTAGTCCTCACTTAGTTACAACACATCTGTAGCCTTCTTTGTTTAAAGTTGGTTGCAGGTGTTCACAGGCTACAGTGACAACCATCGGGTGGACTGTAAGTTAATTTGTCACTTCAGTTTTATAAAAAAATAAATAGTATTGCTCTCCCAAGTTACTAGTTTTTTTATATAGGATAAGGTGACAAATGAGCACACAGTCCACCTGATGATAAGTGGTTGCTGTGGTCCATAGACATCTACATCTATCCTCGATTACGAATCAAAATGCAGATGCATTTTCATCCGTGAGGACTAAGATTGAATGCCTCGTTTCCAGTAAAAAGGGTCTCCGGTTCTCTATACTTACCATACGAAACACAGCAGCATTAATCCACTATTTTACAATGGTATTCTGTGAGAGTGTGGTCCTTCCCCGGTCAAGCAGACCCATTCATCTTACAACTATAGTATACTAGTTTTTGTAACTATTTGAATCTTTTTTTTAAATATTAATCAGAATTTTTGGTATCTGTACATACAAACACATAATATGTTACTTTTCATAGCAATTATTGGTGTTTAATTATGATAAATATGAAGTCATAAAGAAGATGGCTAAAATTTGTATGAGCCTGTATCCCAAACAGTATAGAGATGAAATCTATGTCATTTGAAAGTACAGATCTTTTATATAAAGAATTAGAAAATTGCATATAGCTACGCAGTAGTGGACAAAAGTTATAAAGGTTTAAAAAGTTGATTTTGTCACTTGGTTTTTATCATAATTACACAATTTTGATATTCATAAAGTTATAATTGCATCTTTTTTATACTGTGTTCATAAGTGATAACAACAGTGGTGCAGTTTTGTATTATTTTTTCTCTATTAGTTCATACGTGCATGGGACTGTAAGATTATCAGACTTAGATTTTTTTACATTTTTAAAATTTCAAACATTACAAATTCGTTTTTGCCGTTTAATGATACAAGCCCAAATGTTCACAAAAATAATGTAATTATTGATTTGTTGAAAACTTTTACCAGACTTTTCCTTTTTGTTTTTTGTCCTGTTTTAAGGCTAGCATGTTCTAATTATTGTAAATATGAGGTCGTAAAATTTCTACGTATTTTTTAAAATATGGAAATAAACACTTTTTTAACATATGTGCTTATAAGAGTTATGTGCTATTTTGTTTGAAAACTTTTACCTGACTTGTTTTTTATTTTTGTCTTTTTTTAAGGCTAGCATGTTCTGAAATGTATTTTAGACAGTATTTTGACGCACGAATGGCGATACTCCTTGTAATTCTTATATATATGTAATATCAAAATGTACTCTTTTGGTTTCACTTTTAACAAAAACTAGCCCCGGCTTTGCACGGGTGAGTTTTGGATGTCGACTTATGCATGTATTATTCATATACACCGTCCTTTTGATTCATTCTGTCTATTGATGAAAACCGCATAAAATCCGTTGCGTAGTTTAAAAGATCAAAGCGTACAGACGGCGGGAAAGCTACATTAGGTGAGGTTACACAGTGCGAGCTGATGATGTGATAGTAGACAGCCACTGTACCCCTGTACTTGCATGGCAGTAGCTCGATTTGCCTCACCCGGTCACACAGTGCGAGCTGATGATGTGATAGTAGACAGCCACTGCATCTGTGTACTCGTCTTCCGACTTCTCATGTGACAAGTCACGTGCAATCAATGTTATCAAAACACGCACGACGGCTCGTGGTCCATACCACAATAAGTGTATGAAATGTAATACCTAGAGCTGAAAATGCTGGCCCAAAGAAAAAGAAAAAAAGAAGTATTTGGGTCAGAAAGTGGATGCTAAGGAAAGGGGCAACGAATTTCATATTTGAAGAACTACGTAATGACGGTCCCCGAGAATATAAAGCAGTTATGAGAATGACGCCGCCACAAGTGTAAATACTCTTAAATTTAATTGGACCTAAGATACACATATATGAGAGATGCAAAACCTGCAAGATTGAAGTTGAAAATAACTTTAGTATAGCTTTCGTTTGGGATAGCATGCAGATTGTTGTCAGTAATGTTCAGAGTTTCAAAAGCATCCATAACACGAATAGTACAAGAAGTGTGTGCTGCAATAAATGAAAGTCTAAAAGATTTTATCAAGGTAAGAAATTATTATTACTCATAATCAAATTAACTATTGATTGTTTTTTTTACCACCAGATATTTTTCCGGATCGATACGACTTAGTGACCTTCAAGAAAAGAGCCTACTCCTTAAAAGGCCGGCAACGTATCTGCAATTCCCTGATGTTGCAGTTGTTCATGGGCGGCGGTAATCACTTACCATCAAGTATTTGTACACCAGTTTAGATCCGAGGGAAGCGGAGCGCACAGCCGTGCAAGCGTTAAGCTACGCGACGAGTTCAACTACCGTTCATATCGGGATTATTCGAGATAAATATATATCGTGCGAGATGTTCGAGGCGCCCTCACACTTCTTAAGCCCAAGAAGTCCGTGGGTCCAGATGGTATACCACCGTTCATTTTAAAAGACTGCCGTATGGTGTTTGAATTGCCTCTTTTACATATTTTTAACTTGTTTCTAAAAGAAGGTTACTACCCGGACGAATGGAAAGTGTCCCGAGTGATTCCTGTGTTGAAAGGAGGATCGGGTTCAAAGGTGGATGAATATAGACCAGTAGCCGTATTGTGTGCGATAGCTAAGGTATTTTAGTCTATTATTTTTAAATATGTTTATAATCAAGTGAACTCGCAGCTTAGTTACTCTAAAGCTCAGCATGGTTTTCAACCAGGTCGAAGTACTGGGAGTAATTTATTGTCTGTTATAAATTATGTGGTGCCAGTAGTGGATGCTGGGAGCCAGGTGGACACTGCATATTTCGATTTTCGAAAAGCCTTCGATACCGTTGATAACGATATCTTGTTGGTAAAGCTTGCGGAGTTAGGTTTTACACCTAGTTTACTAGATTTCTTTGCGAATTATCTGAGCGGACGTCAATAATACGTAGATTTCGCAGCTTTTGAATCGCAGCCGTATTGTACTTATTCTGGTGTGAGTCAAGGGAGTAATCTTGGCCCTTTATTATTAATGTTAATGGTTAATGATCTTCCTACGGTCGTTAAAGAGGCGCAGAGTTTGCTATTTGCTGATGATCTTAAATTTTTTTTTGAAAGTAAACGTATGCTTCTGACTGCCAAAGTCTGCAAAGGGATATTGACAGATTGGCACAGTGGGGAATGGAAAACAAATTGTATTTCATAAATGTTAATGAATGTTGTATCATGAGTTATGGTCGTGCAAAAGACCCTCAGAAGTATGCTTATGAAATGAACGGCCTCGTAATCCCGCGCGTTACATATATTAGAGACTTAGGCGTTGAAATGGTCCCGGAACTTAATTTTCGTAAGCACATTTTAAATATTTGTTAAAATGCTTTCAGGAGTCTCGGCTTTATATTGACAGTGCAGGGATTTTCAGAATTTATTAACTATTAGAATTTTATATAATGCTCTCGTAAGAAGTCAACTTGAACGAACTCGAAGTATTTGGAATCCGCATGAAAGCAAGTATAGTGTCATGGTCGAAAAAATTCAAAATAAATTCACGCGATTTTTATACTTTAAGCAATACGGAATCTATCCTTGTTTTCCACTGATGTATTTAAGTCTGTTTGTACTGGGGATGGTTGGTTATAGCCGCTTAAGTGTTAGAAGAGACATCACGCTTATTAAATACGTGTGGGAAGTATTATGTGGATGGATATATCACCCAGATGTGCTCGCTGCGTTAAAGCTGCGGGTGCCTAATAATTACGTGTGTTCTCGTCGTCGTCCCCCATTACTCCTCGTGCCCGCTGCTAGGACGAAGTTGCTTCAGAATGCACCATGGTCACGGGCTATACACTATGTTAATATCATCTCACAGGATATTGACATATTTGAATGTAGTGAGACGAAATTCATGATTGCAGCATACAAATGCGTCGATAATTGTAATGTTTTTAATTAGTATTTTATTTTACCATCAATTTGATAGATTTCGTACTAGATACCATTATTTATTAGTCAGTAGTTTTCTTATATTTAGGTTAGTTATAGCATCGCATTGGTTTAATAACTGTAATGATGTTATAATTGTGTAATAAATAAATAAATAAAAGTGAGGCGTACGGTCGTTTGTTCCATCTCCTATAAAAAAGCTTAGAACTACATATCTTAGATTTTTTATATTAGAGAATGTCATTGCTACAGTAAAATACATCTTGTGTGAGATGTGAGTATTGATTGCGAAGATTGTTCCAATTGCGTTGTGTGTGAAGACGTAGGAATGACCTCATAATATTCAGTCGTTGTTTCTGTAGGGACTAGTGGTGATGTTGCTGCGCATAGTCTAGTCGACTCTGGTGAAGGCACAGCTTCATAGCTGTAATGAGAAAGTGTCACGGCGCCTCTACACGTTGGCCAACACAGTGGCGAATGTAGTGGCCAATAGCATTGGCCAACGTGTAGACGGGGTGTTTGGGCTTCATTGGTATGTATTGGAACGATGGCCCGCAAGTTGGCGCGAGATCCGTGTGGTGTCGGTTTTTTACAAAAGATCAAAGGATTGTTGGCAGAGTTTGGTCGCCGCGTCCACACGTTGGCCGCGCGTTTAGTTTGCTACAAGCTCCCAGAGTGATTACACGCATCTGATTTAAATTTTATATTCAAGCTTTGTAGGGTGGATGCCCCAATTACTAGCCTTTTAGTGCCAATTTCAACTTTAAACATTCCTACTACTTTAATTAGCGCGATTTAATTATTATTGAACATTTGTTTTAATCAATAAGCTATTTATTAAAAAAAAATAACGTTTTTTCACAATCAGATTATTACAAGAACAATTTTAAAATGAAAAAAAATATCACAGAATATCGGCGTAAAATAGTAGCTTAATGATGCTGTGTTTCGTATAGTGAGTCTAGAGAACCAGAGACCCTTTTTAAAGGAAACGAGGCATTTCATCTTAGGCCCCACGGGTGACAACGCATCTGCATTTTGATTCGTAATCGAGGATAGATGTAGATGTCTGTGGGCCACAGTAACCACTTACCATCTGGTGAACTGTGTGCTCGTTTGTCACACCCTATCCTATAAAAAAACGTCGATTTCTTATAATTTAATCCTGCAAGATTTCGAATCATCATCATCATTACAGCTGTTCACAAGTCCACTACTGAATATCCTCCTCCACAGACTGCCGCAAAGCATGTTCCTGAGCCACTTTCCGTGTCATGAGTTTTTCATTTATGTTCTAAGTTATAATTAGTACCTATTATTAAGTCAGTGTTAATTATATTTATTGCTATTGTTTTTGTCTTTCTCAAAAAATAATTAAATTACCAAATAAATTATAAGGTGTTTTTATATACATCAAATGTCTGATAGAAATGCAAGTACATATTTTGCTAAACTTTAAAATCAAAACACAATTTTAAAACATAGACTAATCGATTATAACTCCTTTAACTTTAAAATAAGTTAAGTTCTTATTAATGGTATTTATTCCAGTTTATGATGCATGTAAAGAATAAATAAAGCTAATCGTATATCGTATATCTATTTACAGCCCCATTAATATCCACTATTATTTTATAATTCTTTTATAAAAACGTTAACCCCACACTAGGATTTTCTCCCGCATCGCGCAGGCAGTTTACAAACATAAATTGCACAAGGACACACATTCGGACCCGAAACAATTATTTGTAGGACATACAAATACTTGTTCCGTGCGGGATCAAACCCGCGGCGCCCGGCGCAGCCACTCATTGCTGAGCCACTGCGTCACGGTGCTTATAAATTCGTCCGCACATTGGCCCGAACCGAAGTAAACTGAACGACCTTCCAACGTGTGGACGCCGTCACCAACTCACGGCCAATATATTAGCAACTCCATTCGCCACTGTGTTGGCCAACGTGTAGAGGCGACATCACACACAGTCCCAGCACAGACTTTCTTACGGTATTTAGAGAGTATTGCCTGTATTTCATCCGTCGCATGTCTATTCTATCGATCGGCGGTAACTGTCTAAGTTGGAGTGTTACATGTCTTCCAATCACATCAAATTCATCTTCTGATGCACTAGGAATAGACATTGTTAAACTGTTACTTAGTTCTTTAAGTTCATTCACGGCTGCTTTAATGTCAGACCGTTCTAGTGTGCACTTAATATTGGACCTTGGTCTTTTTCGTGGATTTATTGGTTGTTTAACAACAACGGTGTGACCGCTATTGCTAAGAGTATCACGTTCTTCGTTACTATTTTGTGAAGTATCTTCAGACAGCTCGTTTCCTGGCTTTGATGCACAATGTTTCTGAAATTTACATGACTTTATTTTATTTTTCTGATACCAAATATGAAAGAATGGCAAGATACACAAGTAGGATTCCATTAATTAGAAAAAAAAATCCGTGGGGAAAATGGGAAACGGTTTATAAAACGTATTTGGTTGGCTAAAAAGAAGATGTAGATATTTTTCGGTATTAAAGCTGAAATTCGATTAATCCATGATGGCGTGAGATCTCTTATTTAAAACGGTGGTAAACTTTCTCCTACATTAAATACAAAAAAAATGTAACATGAGCAGGCTAACGGAGGGTCCCTTTGACAGTCGTTGTATAACTATCGGTACGCAGCTTGAGTCATTGGTGCGTGATTTTACCGCATAATTGTACGGCTGCTTGATATTAAAAATATAAACCGTTACTGTTATAGCCTGTTAATAGTCCACTGCTGAACAAAGGCCTCTTCAATAGATTGCCTCATAGGGAAAATGTTGCCACGCTTGGCAGGAGCGCTGGCAAACGCAATTTTATATTTTAAGACGCTGTTGCTCATCTCTTGATTCAGAAACAGAAATAGAAACTTTTTTATTCAATATAGATTATAAACAATACTTATTGAAAGTCAATTTTTAATTTACCACTGGTGCGCAAAAAAAACTCTGTCCTGGGAAGAACCAGCAAGAAACCCAGCGGGACTATACCACGGTAATATTATCTATACAGTATTGTAACTCGGCCGCATCTTTCAAATAAATGCCTACAGTCGTGCGGCATGTAAACATGTGATAGGGTTACCTGCCTCCAGCATTTTTACATTTGCCTACTTTGTGTTTTATGATTGTATACTTTTTATATAAACAAATAAAATAGGTACTTTGTGAATTGAATAGGAAGTGTTCAATAAAAATGCGTGTCGTTTTTTGATTGGTAGATTTAATTAAAAAACCATGTTTATGTTTGAATAACAAATCGGTTAAATAAATTTGCGACCGAAAAAAAATTTGCACCTCGGCTGAGACTTCCAATGTTTTATTATTAGATTTTTAAATATAAAAAATCCGCTTTCTAATATAAAGCTAAAAATAATATAAATTAAAAATTGTTTTGGGAAACATGGACAACGTGGAGAAAAGGAATATCTTTTAATTGGTTATAGTTACCTGCAGCTACTTTACAATTTATATTATGTTTTTTTTTTAAATGAAGTTCAGATTTATTATTTCTTTATTTCTATTCTATTATTTATTTCCTCCATTTTTTTATATATTTCACAAAATAATGACTGCGTCACAGTCACGACTGTCTGCATGCCGAGCGCATGCCGAGATCGAGGCGCGTAGGCATAGCTCTCGCTTCGTCCGTTTGTATGAAGTTGGAATACTGTATAGATAATATTACCGTGACTATACGTTTTTTTTCTTTCAAATAATAGCTTACAATCATGTTTACAATTTAAGGGGTTATAGTAAGTCAGCTCAAATTTTAATTTCGTCCCCACTTCCCCGCGCGTCGTATTCTATGTACCGACATGTTTGTAATCACTAATGCTGTAAGTAGGTAGGTCGTTAGATACTTATTTCATTAGGTTTATCATATTTATGCCTGTTTCTTAACGCCAACCCAGTCGCTTCTTATTTTTATCACGATTATTTCCCATTTTAATTTTACGTCGTCCTGCTTCGTAATGCATAAACGTAATTCTGATCGTAAGCGACACAACTTCTCCCTTCAAAAGCCTAAGCGATACTAACGAGGTAACGGGGCGACAGGAATCAAGGTTCAGGACGCCGATAGTTTAGGTAATTTCTTTTTACAGTGAAAATTTAAAAGTAAATAACATAAGCTCTGCTTTATAGTTAGTTCAGTTAGTATGCAAAGTTTCATGATCTTATTTAAAGTATTTTATGAATAACAGCGGTTTATAGTTCAGTTTGGAGGTAACTTTGGATTTTTTTTCTATCGAGAAAATTTTACGGAATCGTGTTTTCGTCTAACATAGTCCTTAACATTAATCCTCAACTTTATCATATATTTATTTCAAAATTAATGCTGCTATACTTTCGACATAACGGAGGATGTTGCTAAGCCATTTGAGGTTATATTTCCCCTTAACAACACAAGACAAATTAGAAATAGGTTGGTAGCGATCACCCTTTCCAGGAGTTATCATCCATAAATTCCTTAATATTTATATAAATAAAATATATAGAAAAATATTCGTTTCCCTCTGTCGCATCTTGCGACCGCCATGAAACGATATGGGGTATCTAGTGGATACTCTTACACCGTTACAACACGGTCAAAAGTATAATTATGTTAGGTTTATATTTAAGGTTATAATTTATTTCACTATGTAATTAACTGATTACTGTTGAGTAGCTGATCTGTGACGTTCAGCGATCATATCTGGTGGACATCTATGTTAGTGATGATGCAAGTTTCCATAGGCTGCAATAGAGCTGTCCAATCATATCCACTATGTGATCAAATAAGCTGTAGAACTTTACATGGGTTCAAAGTTTTAAGCGAATAGTCTTTCCAGTCTAAACTATCCTATTCACTATTTACGGTTTACGGTTTTACCATTTAGGTGTAGGATAGGACCCTATCAGCGCTTACCTTAAAATTTCACACTAAGCTGGCCAACCGGGTTACACTTCTCGCCGGCATCACTAAAATTGTTTATTGCAATTTAAAATGCTGATTTAAAACGCGCTCGACTGTGTATAAACGACATCCGCATGACTGAAAAATTCAAAAGTATTACGAAGACATGTGAAATTTGTCAATTCGCTGAGAGGCAGCATGCTTGACTCTTATTTGCTTAATCCTTTCAAGATTCAGAGGAGATCGGTGTCCAACTGTGAGGTTACTACAACAAAGTTATTGTTTCTGATGAATCTACACTGTCTTTATTTTTTTTTGTAAAGCAAACCAGGAATGTTTTTCATTTCACTGTCGTCACCATTATCAGCATCATTACAGCCCTTCGCAAGACCACTGCTGAACGTAGGCGTTCGCAAGAAATGCCATTAGCAAGAATGGAGTATAGTTGTAGTTGACTGAACCTTGGTGTTTCCGCACATCGGTTTTTAGACGTAACGTATGTAAAATTTAAGCGTCACATTTCATTAACATTCTTGTATAAAATTATGAGCGACACACTGTCTTCTTATATATAATGCACGTTCACAGTTTTTAACGACTACGTGTGCTATAATTTAAATATTGTCGCGCCACATAGAGGTAATTTTTATGCAGTCTTGTTATTCCACATAAAATACTATGTAATTCAACGCAAAAAAGTTACTGGTCTATTAAAGTCAAAATCACCTAAAAGATAATAATTTTACATGCAAGAAATATATTTAATAAGTTATGGCTAAAACGTGATTCCTTGGTCATGTTTATTTGCCTAATAAAAAGGATAAGACAGTTTTAACTACATATATTGAAATGATGGTGATGTCATGTTAGTTTTGGATCATTAATCGCTGGATCCTGGGTTAAAATTAGTCATAAAATGTTTCTTATTATTACGCAAAGAAATATTAGCTAACTTTAAGATGTATAAAGGTCGCACAATTGTTTAAATATTTATTTATTTAACAATGTATGCTCACAAAAAGTCAAACTTATACCACCCCTCTTTTTCGTCGGGGTTTAAAAACATATTTTGTATTAAAAATAAGTTTTATATTGTCATTACCTAATAAATTCACGTATTTTGTGTCCGTATCATACATACGTAAATCACATATTAATGCTATATTATAAACATCTTTATGAAATTTTCAGAACCAAATATTATTAAAACAATATAAAAATCTGCGTCAGGATTATGCTTTACGAGTGTCTGGAGGTGGCCTATATTCAGCTGAGGACTTGTAATGAGCTGCAACGACGAAACTTTGCATGTGAACTCTGCCGTGAACACACAGTAGGCCAACATGGCGAAGTGCGTTTTTATAAAAACCCGTAATAAGAGAAAACTTGTCTTATGACACTATGACTAACTTTGATATTATTTAGAATTGTATATTTTACAGTATAGTCAATCGGAATACTTTTTAAGAGCTATCAAAACAAGTGACATAATATAAATATATATACATAAACACTCACGCCTGTCACCCGAAGGGGTAGGCAGAGACTACAGACTTCCATTTGGCACGATCCTGACACACCTCTCTCGCCTCCTTCACATCCATATACCTACGCATACATGCTCGTCGGTTAAGGGTACTCCTAATTTGGCCCGTTTTCAATAAATCGCTAATTTGGTCGAATAATTTTCGCTTAGGACGTCCCTTTCCGACTCTGCCATTTACTTCTGCAACATAAATTTTCTTTGTCACTATTTCCTCATTCATTCTTTTCACATGACCAAACCACCGACGCATTCCTTTCTTAATCCTGGTCACAACATCATCTTGCAAACCACCACCCCACATTTCGCACATGAGGCACCAACTAAAAAAAAAACAACTGACCTTCCTCATATTTATTTTTTTTTTTTTTTGCGCCCGAAGCAATTAAAGGGCTACCCTATACGTAGGCAGGCGGAAAATGCATTACGCATACCACGATAGCCGGTCTATCGTGGTTATGAGGGGGCTCACTGTCCTACCGGGGACCCTAAGTGATACCCTCTAAAAACCGCCTTTGGGGACAGGCAACCGGCTGATTAAGCTCTATTGTGCCTTATCATGAGCGACCCTCTTTTGGGAAAAGAGGGCGCAGGCGGCTAAGTGCCGCTGAGGGAGTGCCTACGAAGGCAAGTTAATGTTAGATATTACAATAATTTTATTTAATTAGAGTTGGCCTGAGCTGCCAGGAGACAGTTCAGGTCGTTTGAAAGTTTATTAGGCGGTGCCGAGAGAGTTTCTCGGCCTGCGGACACGATAGCAAGAGGGGGGTGGGGCTGCATAAGAAGCTGCCTCACGAATTAAGTGGTTTGGGTGCGACTCTGAGGCTTTGAAGAAGTTCTCAGAGAGTTTTTTAAGAAATTGTTGAATTGTTGGGAGCTCTAAGTCCCGATGAAGGTCGGCATTGCGGACGTACCACGGTGCGTTCGCAGCTCGACGACAGAATAGGTTCTGAACTA